CTAGCCTGCCAGAAATTGGAAGAAGAAAAAGGAGGAGGAATCACCATTTGGTAGTCTGAGCTCTGGAAGTCTTTGCCAGAGGATTTGAAGTGAAGACATCTTCTAAATCCCTTCTCAAAACCTATATTTTACTAGGTCTAGCATACATCTCTCTCTTTTTTATTTTATTTTTTTTTCCCATTTAAATTAGGGCTGCACATTGAAAATAACTAACTCTGTATTTCTGCAAAAATATACATATTGTGATCTGAATAAACGTCTTAGTAAATATAGACTGGGTTTAACCTGTTGAGGCCAGAAGCCTTCATCACGTTCACCACATTCTTCGTCTGTCATCGAGGCCCCAAGCAGCCAACGCTTCTGTCTTCCCAGTTGCAATGTTCTCACTTGTATGATCATCCGTGAAAAATGCTGTTTGCGAAGCGGGACCTTTCAGTGTCAGTCCTCATTATTAGAGTGGACAGTAACACTTATGTGCGGCTCCGCTGTCCGGCTGGACCACAAGCCTGTTGTAGCTGAATAACACTCCACTTGTGACAGCTCTGGTCCAACCTGTGCCTTGCGTTTTTCATGCAGCTGTGGGATGGGAACTTCACAGTGACGCAACATGATGATGCTTTTAAAGCCGTCTTTGTGTTAATTAGTATCAAGTCTTGCACAAAGTGAGAAGTTATCGCAGCAGTGGTTCTTCTTTGGTGACAACGGTGTCCAAAATGTTTTTTTTTTGCTTTGGTGTCATTCAGATCTTGTTTTGTTCTCCTCACACAGACCATAGTGGTGGTGATTTAAAAGCTCAAACAAATGAGTTGTGTTGTCTGTTGTTAGGGCAGCAACTGCTGAGACCACCTGTTTTTGGTAACATCATCCTTTCTGTATTTGAAATATTTCCATTTAGCTGATTTTCCTTGTGCAACCAAGCCTTTCTTTTTAATGTTTCTGTTTTGTCTCTCGCTCATTTTACTGTTCCTGCAGCCTGCATGTCAACAAACCTCGTGTCTTTATTAGAAAGTAAGAAAGAAACCGTTGTATCCATGAACCCCAAAGTCACACAAAATGATGTTCTGTATTCATTATTTGTAAATTAATATTGGAGAACAAGAACCATGTGACTTATGTGCACGCTGTAATGTAAATGCTAAAATATATCTCGCAGCCCTGCTTTTAATTCGTTGTTTTATTGTTCTTGGTTTTATTTCCCTTAGTCACAAAATGTTTTAATTCTGGTTAAACCACTTTTTTTTAACTTTGTTTTGAAAAGTGCTGTTTAAATATAGCTCAATATTATTGCTAGTTGTTGTTGCCTGCTCTTAAATGTAATTTACTGGTATGTGAACGCAGAGGATGTTGGTTTAGTAGGCGGTCCTTAAATAGCGAAATTGTTAGAGAATATGCTTCAGCCAGTCTGTAGTTTGATTCTTCGCAAGGGACCGTTTGCAGCATATTTTTCTTTCCCTTCATCTCCAGTCTCTCTCTTCTGTCACTGTGAAATAAAGGCTGCAAAATGCCAAAAAACCCAGAATTTCGCCACCAAAGGAAATATTAATGTAGCCCACACCACCACTGTAGGGTGCATCCTCAATGCATCATGGGTAAATTCACACCCATACGTAGAGCTGTCCACTTTTGATGTTAATTATATTAAAGCCGAATGGGATCAGGTTCATAATAAAAGACCTTGTCACACATTAAGAAAGGTTTAGCACAAAGGAAAAAGATAAATCAGGCTTGATCTATGCTTACAACACAAACTAATTAAACTTTAATATGATAAATTGTTAATTATCACAACATGTACTCTTTCAAAAATCTTAACAGTACATTCATTAGCTACACCTGCTTTATCCTGTAGAGGGCCATTGGGAGCTCAAGCCTGTCTCAGGTGACATTGGGCAAAAGGTAGGGTACACGTTGGACAGGTTGCCAGTCGACTGCAGTAAAAATGTAGGTTTTGAAAAGCCTTGAAGTTGTCTTTGGAAATTTGAGCACTTTAAATACCTGAAGATGTAATTTTCCTCGAACATTATCAGCATCTTCTATCTACTGTAATTTTTTCAACCCTCTCTTCAACATGTCCCTTGATAAAGAGTTAGATAAGACCAGGCAAACGTAGCAAATCCACCTACCTGCACCGCTAAAGCTCACTAATGGGACCAGTACTTTACTGCCGTTGCCACTGGCAACTGGTCCTAGCAGAGAAATAGTTCGGCAAAATTTGGCTTTCACGCCGCAGTTTTCGCATGACTTAAGGAAATTATCCTACAAATTAGTGAGCGGTGCAGATGCTTTTAGGCTGATTCAGTGAGCCAGGTTTGTGCCCATTAAAACAATCCAATCCCCAAACTTGTCTTCTTGTAAGTTAAAACGGACAGTTGTCATTTCCATCTCATGCATAACATGAGGAGAGCGTTCTGGCCCTTTTCCTTCTGTGACACGTCCAATAAATCTTTGGCGCTCTCTCTAGGTCAAGTATTCCATCACGGTGCCAAAACAGGTGGCCATATTCTTGACGATACATGTCCCCCTCCTGTCCACGGAGGAATCTGTCCTCTATAGGCTGCGTCCTTGTCCGCCGGTGTCACTCTGCAGCGGGACCGATGTGATCTGACTGACAATGGCGGTCTGTCTGCCAGGTGCTATCTCATAATCCTGCTTTACAAGGGTCCCTCCGAGTTACCAAAAGACAAGATAAACTAGCTTTGGGGAGAAGGAATGATAGGAGCCAGGATGTGCTTTCTGCTGTTGATTGTAGACACCAGCATGGGTCACTGTTCACCATTTTTATTTCGGCTGTTTGGCAAACACTGAACAAATAACCAAAAGTTTTTCTGCATGGTGACTCGTACATGAAGTACCCTCCACGTTGTGACGTTTTCAAGTTTCTGCTGGTCATATCTATGTATCAACAGTTATGTAGTAATTTATTTATTTATTTTTAGACCAAAACCATAAAACGTTAAAAAACAAACAAATCGGATGCACAGTTTATAAAGAAGTGCATCATTACAGGCTTGAGTTTAGACGCCAACAGGGATCATAAATTGAAGATTATAGCAGACACACTTTGCACATTTTTTAAATTATCAGGAAAACAGATCTTGGTTATGTTGTACATTCTTTGAATGTCTTTGATAATTAGGGTGCATAATAACTATGTGTTTTCATTTTTTAATGATTTGCATCAGCAGTAATTGCTAGCAATTACTGTCTATTGGCTTCTGTCTTCTGGTATTTGCTCTACTCGAGGATATGTACACATTCTTTATTCATCAGACCCACGTCCTCTCGCTCTCTACACAGATGGAGCAATGTGAAAAAATAAGTAGAATATTGGCAGTCTCAAGAATCATCAAACCAACAAACATATTTGACCTTACAGCCATTAAAGACACTTTTGTAAATTCTTTATGTTCTTTTTGCTGTTACAGACAGTTTTGATATTTGTCAAGAAAAAATACTGTTTAAGATAACGATATGCATTTTGCCATCAAAATATAATCACACAATAAAGTCATATCTGTAGCCACATGAGTAAAGAACCGTACCTTGTCACATTTCATAAATCACAGCTAAGCTGGATAAAGCTGAGGGGCCTCAGTCACCAGATACTAACATAGACTCAAAATAGTACAGACAATATGTTACAAGCTAACAGCAGCAAACTGCAATAGAGTGTTCACCCATGTATCGTATGTACAAAATGTACTCTTTAGAGGCGATGTGATAAAGCCACGAACCACCATGACAATCAAATCTACAAAACGGATCTATACCTAGTACTGAACATGTAGAAGAGAAGATTGTTGCTTTGTTCTGGCAAATCTGTCTTTGTCCTCTGAGGATACTCTGACAAACGTCAATGTTTTATGACTCAAACTGCACACACCGTCAAATGTGTTCATTCTCCATTTTGTCCACTTTCGGATCAACACTTCTCTGTTCTCCTTTTGTCGAACTAAAGCATGTTTATTGTCGGGGCAAATCAAAGCACAGCTATGCAGAGAATGATCAGTTTGATGCTGCAAACGCTGTTCAGCATGTTGGCAGTCCTCTCAGGCAAATGTGCAGTGATTGCACACATTCCAAAGTAATGAATATATTCACATCAGATCACAGAGATTATCTCCAAAAAATGAGTGTTCCTAAGTGTGAATCTGATTTTGGAAGTCACCAAATTGCCCCCACGAGGCATGGAAGGCAAATGAGCCGGTATCTCGGCAACAGATTCAGCAAGTCTGTTTTCTACGCGGCAACAACCAACATGTAATCCTCAGATATAATCCACTGTTGCTTATGATTTGGCTTCTCGCGCCATGCTGTGTTTGCTCTTTTCCACTGAAAGAAAAAAAAATGTAGGTGTCGCGTCTTGGCAAATGTCTAAATGAAAATTAGTTCAGTCACTTCTTGAGATTAGAACGTCGATCCGTAGTCCTCAGATCCTACAAAAGCTGCAGCGCTTCAAGCTGTAACGCTGTTGATATTAAAGCAAAGGCAAGCGCAGAGAGCATAGTTGAGGGGCGTAGGCAGGTGCGTTCAGCTGGTGAGCTTCGAGGAATGGCATTTGAGCCACCGGACTCGTCCAATTGATGGTTCTGAGGGAGAAGACCAAAGTGTTAGAATCTGAATTTGAAGGATCACAAAATATGTGTACGCTGTATGACTACAATCAGAGCTAATGTTCTTTTTCAGGTCAGAAATGAGGCTTAGGGGTGAGAATGGCTGGGTGAGTGGTATCCTAATGGTTCTGGAGAAGGATCGTTGATATTAGAAAGACAACATGTGCCAGAGTTGATGCATAAGCACCAATGTGCACAGGACACACTGGAATAATCTTGATTCGAGCCACTTTGTGTGCCAGGCCTGTGAAATAGTCTCTGAATCTGAGAAAAACTGGATTAGAATCACTGATTTGACCTTTCATTAAGGGGTCTGCTTTAGTGAATTTCCATGGACTTTATAAAATTGGTGGTTAATAAAAACCCACACCACATTTTGACATTGGGTGAAAACGATGGTTAAAAACTAAATATGAAACCAAAGTGGAGGGCCAGTCATGCCTGAACTGCATGGAAGGAGAAAATTGGCGACACGTGGAACAATGAGAAGACTGTTACTGTCTATTTTAATATACCAATATTGGCTATATATGTACAGTGTAGGATTATAATAGCGTGGTGTGTTTTGTAAGTCTAAAATAATCTGCCTAAAATATCTGCTGTTGTTTGGTCTGCACAATGCACAGAATAAAACGATGCTTACCACACACAGAGCCGTATCCATTGTTTGATTTGACACCAGTTTTTGGGCCTGGAAAGAAAACAATAACACAAGAGAGACATTAAATCTGATTATTTTTTTTTCTTTTTGATTGGTTTTATTTGTCTGAGGGTGGTGTAGAAATGCTAATGCAGACTGCTTTTTTCCTCCAGTTTCCATAGTTTAGAGGTCCTAACATGAACCTCTTTGTATAATCGTCCTCCTCGGGCGAGATGCCGAAGATTCAAGTGTGTGTTTGTGTAAAAGTTTGTCTGTGCAACATCCCCCCCCCGTTTGTGCCAGCTCAAGGTTAGGATACATTAAAACTTTTCTCCGACTGCTCCGAACCTCTTCAGCCACACATAAAAAAAAAAATAAAAAATACCCACACAGCTACACACACAAATGAACGCGAACTCATAGATACAGAGATGGAGTACAGCAAATGATAAAGTGACTCTGTGGTGGTTTGGGAACAGAATAAACACTCCATGTGTTGGTTCTTAAGTAGAAAGAATTCTATGAACCAGGATTGTGGAGAAGAATGATTAATTGCTCTATCGGAGGTCTTTCCTCCTGGAGGATGTTTTACTGGTGATAAATCATATTATCGCTATTAAAAGCCAATATGATAGATTGTCTCGCTTAAAGTATGTGATATCATCTCATTTAAAAATATGGCCCCATAGTATTTATCAGAGGAGAATAGTAGATATCTGAAGTGTGCCGGTGAAGCCAAAAAAATTTCCCGAGGAGCTGGTGTGTGTGGGGTTTGGCCATAAGCACAATTAAGCAAAACATACAATTTGTGATGTTAAATGTCAGAATCAGCACACTGAATTGATTTCTTACACCTGCATTTAGTGAAATACCCATTTGCATGTCATTAACCGTGACTGCGATTAAAATTTCCGATAGCATTTTTATTTTTTTTCCCCCAAAGTCACACCGTAGACATTTTCTGCTAATTAGGTCTTTGAGATTTGTGCACCCGTGCGTACGACTGGACAGCGGTTGAATTAAACGATGTACGTGAAATACCATGACCACTCTCACAGACAATGTCGTCACAAGGTCAATTTAGCAGCTGTTTTTGAGCTTTCAGTCACACAGTCTTCCCCGACAGAGAGGGTTTTGATGAGTTGTCAAGGAAACGTAGATTTAAATTTCTTTCTGCAGGACTTGTTGTTGGTTTAAAGGTGGAGCCTGTGATTGGAGAGACAGATTGTTGATTTTTTTTATCTCGTTAGTGTATTTGGATAGCGTGCATCGTCACGCTTGCTTCCACTGCCCCCGTTTCCCCGTCTCCCCTCCGCTGCCTTCTCTGTGCACAGGAAGAGCGTCGTGTGCATCGATCTGAGCCACCTCGTTTGTTTCCCATTTACAGAGCCGGAGCTGTGTACAAACACCAGGAGATGCTCACCGAATCTGACTTCAAGAGCGTCTGACTCTACCTTTTAAACGACCGAGGGGTTCATTCTTGATCTTGGAAAGCTCTTATCACAAAATTACATCTGACCATCAGTGGCTCTTGCTAACAAATTTTGACAATTGTGTGACAGCTGTGCAAACTCCATCTGCCGAGGATGTTTGTGGGATATAATCAAAAGCTCGGGTTCAGCTTCTAAACTGACCTTGTGGTGAGATTCTGTCAACTGGAGCTTTCAAGGTCTAAAGCGAACTTTGGAAATGTGGTTTTCACAACTTGAATTTTTTGCTGCGACAGACTTAGAGCAACACAATAATCACACTATGGATTAATGATTTGTGCTCCTCGTTTTTTTAAAATATTAGCAGCTATTATCGGAATAAAGCTGACTGGGAGCAAATACAAGCATCCATAAACCCAATACACATTTCCTTATACGTGATACTTTGTCGGCGGCCCGCACACACACAGTCACACACACAGTCACACTCAGTCACACTCACACTACCCCTGTGGGCCAGTTCTGATGTTACAGTGGCAACCAATTAGCTTTGACATGACAGCTTAGGAAACTCTGACTCCACACTGACGTCTCATCTTTCTGCCCAGGAGGGGGGATTCTGCGCATGCCATCATAATACCATCCCTGATCCATCAAGGTGACAGAGCCCGACGCCTGACACGGTGACAGCAGCTCTGAATAGATCTCTACCTGATGTTTAGGTCTCAATTTAGATCCAGCCACTTTCTTTCACAAATTCTGAGAGCTTTCTGAGGCGTCGAAAATGCACAAAAAGGACAAAGAAGCGTGGGCATTTATCGAAACGTTTGGTGTCATGCGGAAGGATTTTAAAGTTTGTCCTTTATTTTGCCTTAAAAACACTGAGTGGAAGCGAGTGTTTGTTCAGTGAAAGGCTCAGCCACTAGCTGCAAATAAACCAGTGCAATCCTGATGAGTAGTTACTATGAAAATTAAAACTAATTGCCTCGCAATGTTTCAGAGCCATTTTGTTTCGGCAGAGAACTCCAATAAACTTTCCCGGTTAATGAGATCAGTGGAGGTATAAACTGGCTGACCGTCATCCCTCTGAGTCAGAGGGTTTAATTGGGCGGCTTCATTATTTGAAGATTTATAACAATGAAAGGATTATATTTTATCAAAGCATATATGAGCTACGCATACGAAGCATGAGAATGTTTGTTTCTTTAGGTTCAGGTCTTTATTCTCAATGTAGTTTGAGGCGTAATTAAGTAAAATGAAAAATACATTTAGCTTAATTAAAGAGATAAATGCAACTGGAGAAATCTTTTTTTATTGTTATTATTATTTTTTTTTTAACCCTGGTGTTGAGTGAATACTATCAAAAATCATGCAGTTATTTCATGTCCACTGATCATTCTGTGTTTTAATTTTTTGCCATTTGCAGTATTTATGTTTAAACGTAACATCAATGCTGTAAGTCAGACCAAAGATGCAGATTATAGTCAAACACAGATACTCCACTTTTACTACTTCCTTCTTTTAAAAATGTACCTGTAAGGTCCCACAGATGTGATATAATGAGTTGCCATCCAGGTCCAGTTTGCTCATGTCTGTCAGTGTGTCCAGAGCGTTGCTGGTGCGCTGTTTACCCCTCCGAGTGATGCTTGGCTCCGCAGTCGGCTGAATCGGGGGTTGGGGTTGCCAAACTCCAACGTCGGTGCCGTTGCCAAATGCCTGGATGGCGTTACCTGCAAAACAAATACTGTATTGATCCTGTGCATTTGCAAAATTGCTGCTTTTCTCAGCAGTGAAACGGAGTGTGGCAGGTAAAGTGAGATAATACTGTGTGGCTGCTATGTGGAAAAACGTGCACCAAATGTCATGACTTTGTAATAAGCATTATCCACCAGAATGCCCTCTAAGTCCTGTTTTTAAAAGTATAGTCGGCACATCTAACAACTTAGCAGGCTTTCTTCTGTCTCTGCCCTGGAAATAAGTGCAAGTGGCATGACCCAAAACATTCTGTTAATGTCCCACTAAAAGCTGCTTATAATTGGTACTTTAAATAATTGGGCAGGAAAAGAAATGACTTGGCCTTTCTCAAGAGCCTCTTTAAAAGCAATGTCTGCATTTAATATCTCTGCCGCACAAAACTGTACAAAAGTCGGCTTTATTACCGAAATACGAAATTTCCAACAATAATTTACGTAATCTAATTTTGTCATCAATAATTTGACATTTAATCTGAGATACCTCTCCATTAGCTAAATAGAACGTGGGCAAAAACTCAGTAAAAACTGATTGAGCATGAGTTACTGTCAAAGCAATTTAATTAAAACTGCTCTGTGTTGTGTTCTGATGAAATGGAAGCGATGCGATGCTACCGATGGCTACTTATAATCACATACACAGTAAATGGAAATAAAATGCTTGTTGCTGACACAACAAAGTACAGAAAGGGAGAACATGTCAAGCACATGATAGACCATCACACATACTGTTCCTGCTTCTATCCATTATCTCCCCGTACACAATTTAAAATTCACAATCGAGACAATGCAGCCGGTGTATTCGACCTTATCCACAGAAGAAGGGAAACTCATTTCTGCAGCACGGTTTAATGCGGGAACTCACGTAGGCATCGATTGTTGGTGAAAAACTCAGCGAATTTGTCACAGTCTGGCTTGCTGTTCCCACTGCTGCTGCAGTCACACCATGGTGACAGGCTAATACCAAAAGATCGCACATAATTGGGTGTCATCACTGTACCTGCAGCGTAAAAAAAAAAAGAGAAGACTATTGTTAGTCAAAGTACCTGCAGCCCCATTATCATAGCTGAAACCCTGTAACAAGACACGTTTGATTTATCAGGCATTTTCGAGGCTCGGCACACTGAAAATAGAACGCTCAGGTCAGCTCATGAGGGCGAGCTCAGTCTACATCATAGGCTGCCTTTAGTCCATATAGAAGCTCTGCAGAAAGACATTAAACAGCAGGATACTTCATCAGAAAGCTGTTTTATGATATGATGCACAACTGTTTCTTTTCCTTCAGTAAAGGCTGGAACCAATCCGCTCTGCCTCTGCTCTGACACAGATTTTTGACATTGACAACCTGCTGCATCATGAATACAAGCCTCATTGACTTCTACAGTATCCCCCTGATTGCGTGGCACGCCCACTGGGCTTTCCTCCACATTATTCAAACAAACGCTGATGTCAACAAAGGTGGCAAACTGCAGCTTTGGAGAGAAACTTGAGCAAAGTATTTTTAGGGCCGCTGACACTTTACACCCATTGAGAGTCCACACTTATGGCCAAACTGGGGCACGTCGTACTTCACGGGCAAAAAAAAGTCAAATGAAACCCCTCTGGGCTATTTTGTCATCTTCCTGTAACTGAATAAAATGGTTGCCTTTGTGTGGGGAGCACGAGGTTGAGTAGGCTCGTAGTTATTAGCTCTACGAACGCATGCAGATTTTAGTGTGTGGAGACAGAAATGAGTGGTTAAACTAGGGGGGCCCCTATTACAGGGTGTAAACTGTGTGACGCGTGATATGAACGGTGCAGATTAAAATGTCTGCCTGTTGAGTTTGCAATTGGTCACTGTTGCCCTGTGTTCAAATCTCATTACAAAAACTCAGTGGGACATCATTTTTCCTTTCTACATAATGAAACCTGCTGGTGTAAGAAGCAGTGAAACAAATACCGTTTCCACATTGTGATACGGTGAATGAACTGCGATGACACGTACACTCCACTGATATGCAACTTATCGATTGTGTTTTCAGCTCTCTGGGCGCTGAGGTGATCTCGAAACTTAACCCTCTGGACTCCAAGCGGGACTTTTTTCTCCACCTGTCTGTCACTGTGGGCTCATGTTTTTACTACTTTCTAGAGTCCTGCACCTTTATGCAAACAGCAGAACCATTGCTTGAAAAAAAACGATGATTTATTTGACCAAAAATTAGAAGGAAAAACGGAATTAACATGAACAAGATTTTTCCAAATGACCCTGTGACTAAACACAGTCCAGTTGAGTTCAGCCAAAAAGTTGTTGGTCCCAGCTGAGTCCACCATCAAGGAGTTCAGAATTTGCGGTTTAAGGACTTGCAGAAAGTTTAAAATCTGGCAATTCATTTCATTTTTTACAGTTTCTGGCTCTGATGTAATTTTACCTTTAAAAAAAAAAAATAAATAAAAATAAATATTGCTTTCAAACTCGGGTTTCGCTGTCAGTAGAATACATGAAGATAAAGGATGCATGCATTTCTACAAAGCATAGACTGTATAAAAGATGGATGTAGCTACCGTGACGTCACCCGTTGGTTTCTGCACTGAGAACATGAAGCCAGGGTTTTGCTACTTCCTGGTTGACATCTTGGATTTTTGGAGCCAGTGACGCAAAAATCGTGGGAGAGGGGCGGAGCCATAGGAGCAGTGATTGGTCAGACGGCTTGAGAGGCGGGCCCTCTCTGCCCGCCCACATTTACCGCCTTCTGCTCGCTTCATCTGCATCGTCGCTGCCGACTGTCAATCAAGCCAGCCACGCCCCTTGCCCCGCAAAATGTTGATGATTTTTTAAAAATTCTGTATTGATTTATTTTCAGAATGGCCACCTGATCTCTGGATTTGACCGTGAAAACTAATTTTTAAAAAATCCTGAGCTGTAGGAATGCAGTATTTCATGATCTATGATCACTTCTTTTCCAATTCAAGTCTATGGGAGCCAGGGCTTTTTGGAGCCAGCAGCTAGCGGACGTAGTGATACTGCAGGTGTTTGACACTTCCGGGTTGGCTTCATTTTTCAGGGCCGGTTGCTACGTCCATCTTTTATACAGTCTATGCTACAAAGCATCAGGCTGTGGTTGGAGTTTTATATTATGTCTGTTTAGATTTTCAAATAAGTGACAAATCTCCACTTGTACCTTTTTAATTTTTAAACATTACTTATTTTAGACACGACTCAAGAAAAACTTCTGCATCACTAATCATGTAGGAAAGCCGCGGCAGCTACGTCGTGGTGATTCTCAGTGTAGCTTTAAGGAGACTCACACTCTCTGCATCTGTTTTAGAAAAAGTAATAATCCCCTTTCCATACTTTTAATGAGTTTCTGTTTGCTTTTGTTTTGGAAAAACAAAATCTGATTAAAGCTGTATACATCACTTCTAATTGAGCTGACAAAAGCTTCAGCTGCTAATAAAGAGGCAAAAAACAAAAATAAATCAAGAATGGAAAACAATACCAACGAGTTTGATCGCTAAACGACGGAATTGATTTGAAAAATTGGAATGAATTTGATTCCGTTGGTTTGCTGTGCTCCCATTTGGTTATTTTCTTATTTAGCTTTCCTGGGTGCATGCACGTCTGAGTAGATTGTTTAGCAACGACACAGGCACAGAGCAATTCACAACAAATAGCATTAGCAGTTCAGCTGTAGGTCCAGAGTAACTTACCAATAAGACCTGAGTAAGACAGCAGACAGTCGGCATAGTTCTCCCTCAGACAGCCAGATATGGAGTGAGCTTCTGGCTGACAGTTGCTGATGAAGTCTGCCAGCCTTGACCTATTTACAAGAGAGACACAAGTAGCAGCTTTATGCCAGGCCTAGTGCTTTGTCACATTTTTCAGGAGTGGTTCATTAGTTTGCTGCCAGTTTACACGCTCTCGTGGAGACAATATGCATTCACTTTCAAGGTTTTGCAAGTGAGGCTTGTGAAATATTTTTGGCCGACTGTGCGTGCAGCCGGTCGCTCCTGCTCGTGTTCTTGTAACTTTCTCTTTTGTCACACTTGCTTCAGTTGTTGCTGGTGACTTTTTTTTTTTTTTTTTTGAGCTATGCCATCTCTGGACAGTTGTGAGACTTCACCATGCTGTTGCCGCTTTAATTCATCAGAGCTGCTGTTGCCCGGCAACTCCTCGCCTGCATTGTTTGCACCAGGGACTTGCTGATCACGCTGACTGGGATGGCGACCACAACAACGGCAACAACAACAACAACCGACATCCCTGTAGAAGAAATCGGAGGACGGCATGCAGAAGATGGAGAGTGGGATGGAAGCTTGCGAAGTAGAAGACAACAGAGACCAGAGTTTTCTGAGGTCACATGCTGGACGAGCTAACGGCCTTAATGAGGATTCCAGGAGACTTCTGTGCGGTTACGCGTTTCACAGAGACATGGCTACAACGTTGACAGCTTTCAGATGGTTTGGACGAACAAGAACAAATCTGAGAGCGGCAAGAAAAGAAGCAGATGGCTCGCTGCGTTTGCGGTGCCAACCTGGTCACACGACCGTGAAGGAACGTTTCGGCAACCAACATACTGAACTGTCTGGACAACGTAGCCGTCCCTACTACATCCCCTCCGCTAACCCGGCAAACGGCGTGTGACATAATCCACAGAGACTCCAGACTATGTGTCCTACTGCTTTCTTGTGTTGCATTCCTGCATTCCTGTTGTTATTTTACAACTTCCACATACTTGACCAACTGTTACAAATCAGTTTCCTCACAGGGGATTACCAAAGTCACAGATAAAACTTCTTCTGTGAATGAAAACTTATTACAGCCTACATAGTCTCCCATAGCCTCCTTCATGATGTACACTATACTGTGCAATCATTGTTTGTAATTTCTCTTTGATTAGAGATTTGAATAGAACAAGCTGCTCAGTTCAGTTTTCAGTGGTTAAGATCTTCTAAAACAGACAAACTGAATTCTAGAAATGATGTAGAATACTTGTTCAATGCACAGACATGAGAAATTAATGCTCCACACATTTTTAACAACTGATAACAGACAAGAATAAGCTTAGTTTTGAAGTTTTCTATAGCAGAGAAACAAACACCAACATGGAGAACAGCACTTTGTATATTAGGAACAAAGTCCATGAAGGTTCCCCCTGTTCCTGCTTACCTGCAGATGTAGTTGGTCTTGCATGTGTTCTGAAGAGACAGACAGTTGGCTTTGTCCTTATCCTCGTAGGAGCAGACGGGTACGATGGTTTGCCGTCTGCGCTCTGCACATGCCGTCTGATCCCCCGCTGGACACGAGCAAAACAGCATCCCGTAGCTGTATTTAGTTGGAACCTGGATATTACATAGGAAGGGACACGTTTAGTGGAGATGGTGCTTTGTACATGAAAACATCAGATTCACTGTGGCTGCCACCGAACATGAATACTGGTCTCTGTGGTGTATTATAACACATAAACTAGCTGAGACTATTACAGAGAGATTTGATTCAGTGTGAATTTAATGTAAAATCATGCTGACGGTAGCGTTTTTTTCTTCCACGACATTTGGCATGTGGTATGCTTTTTGGTTTGACTGTCAAATACAAATTCAAACTCCAAACTAAAATCTCTCAAGATGTCAGAAAAGAACACGCTTAATTACCTTGTCAAAGAACTGTCTGAGTGCCTTGTGGCATTTGCGCTTGTTGCAGACCTCAGAAGCAGACACCCTGCTGGTGCAGGGGTTGATGTAAGCTGAGCGATATTTCTTACATGTGTCATTCAGGTTACAGGCTTTGGCAGCGTTCAGACAGTTGTTCTCCTTCGTGGAGGCAGGCTCGACTGAGGAAGAGGATCAGACACATAATTGCACGTTTTCTAATGCAAGAATTATTGCTTTCTTGCACAGATTACACTGTTGTTCAATCATCACAAATAACTGCATCAAAATAACATTCACGCATGTTAATTGCAGGAGAAAAACCAGTCGAGAGAAAAGACGAGTGGAAGCATTTTGGTGTCATTTACACGAAAAAGAGGAAAAAAACAAGTAAATATTAGATTTAATTTCCACCATTATTTTAACTAATACAGTCCCCTTACCTCTGGATGTACAGTGTCCATAAAAAGCAGTCACATTACTTTGTCTTTTTTATAAGTTCTGTTCAATACCGCAAAATTATATTGACCATGATTTAATGTTTAAAAAAACAGAAAAAGAGGGAAAACCTCTAAGGAGGCTGAATATTTCTTTACAAACATCGTATTTTTCAATGTTTTGCTTCTATTTTAACATGTTAATTGCGACCACTTCTGTGAAAATGTCCATCTTTCTTGTGTAAAATATATTTTAAGTGAGGAAAATAAAAGCTTTTGCGTCAATATTGTTTGTGCCACGATCACCAAGACTCATTACCAGCAGAAAATTAAAATAATGTCCCAAAAATTGTCCCTTAGATAGCTGTTTCAAACCATTTTTTAAAAGCATTTATGCCAAAAATGCCTCATTTACCATATAATTTACCACACTATATGAGCCCTGTTCAGATCAGTTATGCCTGCATTTGCAAACACAACAACTGTTGGGACAGAGACGTCTTTTACTGGGAATTTGTTGCCCCAGTTGCTCCAGTTTTTTGAAAAACTAGTGTACCTCAGATCTCCTTTGGTCTGCCCTTCGTGATCAGACGTTATACTACAGAATACGTGCAACAAAAACGGCAGAACCGCACTGAACTGCACAGTCAAGGTGACCTGTCGTCGCCCTGAACTGGACAGAAGCTTAACACCCTAATTTTCTGTTACGTGTTTGTATGACTGCTGCCGTTTTTCTTGTCTTGCCTCACACATCATCCAGGGGTAATTTTGTTGTCCTCAGCCTGACAGAAAACACATAATCGTGCACCTTGAAAACAGTGACACAGAGACACAGTGAGTCCCTTGACTTGAGTTATGAAAACAAAGTCATCTTCGCTTCCATCCCAGAATGCCTTTCCCCCCCTCCCAGCCACGGCGCTGCACGGCCAACATAATGCCTCTCGCTTCTCATTTTCCTCATTTGTTGCAGTTAAAGTCCTTCCTGCTCCACTGACTCCTCCACAGTAACACAAACTGTATCCTCGGCCTCGACATGGAAGAATGAGTTCTGTAATTTTGCCTTTTGAGGTGGAATCGAAGCTCACTGCACTCTTTCATGCACCACAGAATGAGCCATGATTAAATCTGAATACATTCTTGAACTTTGGGTTAATCACATATTACAAAACCCATTACTTACATCTGACAAGTGCCTAGAGATGTGGGCTGTGATCCTTTAGTGGCTGTTTGCAGCTCTCGGGCCATAGGTGTGACAGTTTTATCCCAATTACTAACACTCCGATGGGAAATGGTTACCCAAGTTGGATTAAAATCTGAATTTTTAAAGTTATTGCTTTGAGGGGTTAAAACCCGGTTGTATCTGTGTGTATGCATGTAGCTTGTATGTAGGCTTCATCAGGAGGTTTTTTTTTTGCGTTGAGGAAGCTAATTTTTTGGGAAATGCGTTCTCATTTCCCAAGAGTAATTTCAGTACGAAGCACTTCACTGTCACAAATATCACATTCAAGTTAGGGGGAGAATCATTAGGATGTGATTCAGCAATGACTTTGTTCGCTGTCCAAAGAGGAGATGAGGAGCATCGTGTCCATTATTTATTTTCCATTGCTGTGCTGAAGGGCGTTGGTGGTGTGTTGTGCACCAGTGTGGTAATCATTAGAAAGCAATGTTTGCTTGTATCTGTAATCCTGGTCTATTTTTTTCCTTCTTTACATGTTGAATATTATTTTCCTGTAGAAGCCACAGTGAGTTGGTTTGTGAGTAACATCATACAACAGGCTTGGCTACATCAGGAGCACAACATATATAAGATTATCTCCGAGGCGAAACACATCCTACTCAGCCTTCTTATGTTGCGTCCCCTGAGCAAGGCCACCAGTGTAGAAAACACAGGAATCTGACCCTCTGACCTCCGATACGTTGATACAAAAGACCTTTGGAAGGCTGTCAGCCAGCTCGGGTTAAATGTGAATCTTAAAGAAGAGGCTAATTATTGTGTCCTGGGGTGTTTGCAAGTCTTTGATGTGCAGCTGTTAAAACATCCCGTTTAAGAAACGGCCTAACTTATGAAACTGAAACACTTGGGACCAATTAGTAGCGTATCATCCAGGCTTCTAAGGTGTTTACATTCAGCTTCAAAATATTACGGCCAGACACAATTAAAATAGTGGCTTCAGTGGTTATTTATGGATATGCTGCATTTGCACATTTTCTTTAATTATTACTATGATGTTTTATTCTTGGGATTGTACGATTTAGAGTAGATGCTGGAGGTTTGGGGCTGATGTCGAGTTTTAAAGTTAAACAAATTCTGGACTTCTAGTATTGATTCATATACTGCATATGTTAGAATAACATTAAGAAGACGATGCAATTGGAGTTGCACAAAATGCGATGACACTATTTCTACAGCATTTTTCTAAATTATCAAATCAATATTTGGCATTTGTGATGCTTATTTTTTTTTGTTCTTTTTTTATATTATATTGACAGCATGCCAGCTTTGAGTTCTTTAACTAACACAAAGAGTTGATGCCAAAATAGATGATAAAAATGTTATTTTCTGTGTTGCCTTTGTTTTTTTCTGTACTGAAAATGTTCTGAACTGTTGCCCTAAAACTGACGCTCATACTTTTTTTTTGCTGTGCATCACTGATCATCAAATCAGTTGCCTTCTATTGTTTTTGTTGATCTACTAATACATTTCTTGACTTCTTATTTCAGCCCCTAAAAAGATGTTGAAGTCAGAGTAGCTGCTCCACACACTTAGTTTGTATGCCTGGTTGGATGCAGGGTTTGCAGCAGCCAGGTCCACAAAGCCTTGTGCACCTTTGCAACCTCCTTATTTTGGCACGTGTTTATGGATTCAGACAAATTCATCATCTCTCTGCACAGTACACATGGACCAAAGTTTCCTGGACTTAAGCTACCATTAAACACAGGGGTAGTCAGCTCAGAAACAGTGGAGCTGCCACTAAAAACTCTCGTCCCTATAGGGTTTGATGTCACTGCAACAGTTCTGAATAACAACATTCTGCCAAGAACTCACTCAAGCTGCTCTCGGTTACTCTAAATTCAATCCAAGAACACTAATAGGAGCATGTGGTGATGGAACTGCCCTTCTTATCTGCGTATGACATGAAAATCCTCCTTTGTCAAGAAACACAGATTATAATAATGCAGAGTATTAGCGTGACCCTCAGAGCAAACCTCAGGAGCCAGCCGTGTGCTCGGAGATCTTCAGTGTTCAGACTGTTTGGTTGACTGTGAAACTCGCTGTCACGTCACATTTAACACAAACTTTAAACAGAATCACGTCGAGACTTGAATGAAGAAAGTTCCTATTGTGTTGAATGTAGTCGCATTGTTCCTTGATCAGTCTGTTTAATGCTGATTTTGAAAAAGATTTGTTTAATCCGTAATTCTTTTATAGTTTTAGCCCCCTTTACTGCTCTTTTGTAGCTGTAGTGAAGCAGATGATGCATATACAACACAGTGATGCTAAACCTCTTGATGACATTTTTCAAATCAATTCCCCCAACATGCAGCCCAAAGAGTGGATTTTCTTTATATTGATATATATTTATTATCTATTGTACTTTAGCTTCTCTCGAAAATTCTGCCGTCCTGAATACCAAAGCCGAGCAATTTGCTGTCTAGATAATGGTTCAAATCAATGTCCTTCACAATTTATACATAGGTTTACTTAATCTTTCCAAACCCGTCCCTCCATTTAGTGCCCTCTTTGTCATTTCCCATAATAGAAAGCAAACAGCAGTGGTCAGAGGCTCTCCGTCACGGCACCCTGTCTGCTGTCAGGCTTCCTGCCAGCAGCACTAAATCCACAACAGTGTCTTAATATTTATGGCCAGACCCCGAGACCCATTTATTTAATGCACCCATGTAATTAGCAAAATCTCACTTAGTTCCTACTGCTTTCCTCCTCACTCATTTATCCTGCATTGATTTAAGGAGTAATAGTCCAGCATTGCAGAAGTGTTATACTGGGAATCAAAGTGGCCGCAAGCTGAGCGTCGTGACTGCGGTTACGGTATCTACAGATGGTGATGAGATACGAGGATGGACCGGGAGTCAAATTTTCATATACTATTAATCCACACAGTGACAAGAAAATTGGTTCCTTTTGGAAGCCAAACCATCTCTTTAAAGTTTCAGGTTGTTGGTGGCACATCGCGTTATGAGATAACAGCTCCTCCTTCAGATTTGACTCACTGGTTGTGAAGATAAGGTGAAGTAAGTTTTGACTGGACATATGGTGCTACAGTCACTGCAGGACATGGGAGAGAGCAGAAGGCGTGAGCTCTGATTGCTGTGAGTCAGATATATGGATGACCAGGTGTCCTTTTTGCTTTCTGTTTTTTTATTTTTTTCTTCTTCAGAAAGTCAGGCCAAAGATGTGATATTCATCTCGGCCAAGTCAAAATATAAACGTCGATTTAGTGGTTCGCCATCAGCAAATAACATCAACACGGGGCAGGTTCTTCTTTTTCCATCCGTCTAGTTTCCATTTTTTGAGCATGTAGATTTATACACAGGTGCATCTGTTTATGCATGTGTACATCAATCTTTTTTTTTGGTCTGAGCAAAATTAGTTTTCCAATAAATATGACCAAGATCCTTGTGCTTGAAATGCGAGGAACAGCAGCTGCCTAATTATTACTAAAACAATTATTTGGTTGCAACAGCTGATGATTTATTTTCTGTTAATCGACTCATTGACTGAGTTG